TTTAGATACTATTGATAATGGCGGGTGGATAGTAAATTTAGGCAAAGGTAGAATAGAAGAACTCAAGGCCAGTTTTAAAGGTAAAGGAAAGAAATAATATATAAATATTTATAATGATAATATTAACTAAAAATATACTGAAAAGAAAGAAGCAGAAGTTCAATGATAATTATGATCACGACGACAGTTTTTCAATACATAACCTAACAAAACCAAACACACCAACAACAACACAACCACCGAAAATGATGAAAAAAGGCATACCAAGAGAATTTATTGACATTGCAACCAATACAGATACAATCGCCACAGAAACCAGAGAGACTCAAGAAAAGTTATATAATGATGCAAATCAACAATTAAATATGACATTTGAAGCGTTTAAGGTAAAGGAAAACCAAGATAATATGTTTAAAATAATGCTTAAAAACTTTTGGCACAACACATACAAAAGACATGAACCAACAAGAACGCAAGCAACACAAACACTGAAACACCAACGCGACACAATGGTGTCAGCCTTTACTAAAATGCTCGACAACAACAAACCGCCAGAACCACCACCAAAGAAACCACCAGATGAGGATGACAGCGATGAAGAAGAAAAAAGATTCAAACTGACAAAAATGATAGAAATAATGCTACACAACGGCGCTACAATAGCAGATATAATATTAAACTTATCACACAGCACAATTGCAACAACAATAAATATTGCAGATTTAGTTAATCAAATAACAGCAGGAAATGCACAAGGTAGCAGTAGCAATTCATCAAATGAAGCTATTAGTGTTCATAGTTCGCCACCTATTACTGTTCATAGTTCTTCATCCGAAAGTCCAACAGAAATACCAGCACCAACTGAAGACGAAGAAGAAGAAGACGAGAAGAAAAACAAAAATATAATTTTGAAAAATTAAAATCTAAATAATATTATATATAATGGGTTCAAGTAAATCAAAACCAGTAGAAATTGATGATGAAGAGGCTATTAAAGTAATAAAAGATATAGATGTAAATACGATAAGTGAAATGTCAAGAATTGATATTCTACAAATAAATTCATTGAAAGCAATAATAAATAAATTAGAAAAAGTTAATGAATGTAAAAAAGATAAAACATATTATAAATTTCCTGCCTTAAATTTATGTAGCTATTCTTTATTCTAAATTGATAATATTAACATACATTAATATTATTAATTACTATCATAATCTGTCATTTCACTTTCGGGTAATTTTGTTGAGGCGTTGCTACACATATCATCTATTAAATCTTCTTCATCAACAAAATTATTTTGAAATCTTAATAATTCCTCGTCTGTTGCCCTTCTTTTCAATACCTTATAAAGTTTATGTATCCAAGAATTAGTATGAAAATTGTAATTACCTCTACGATAAAATCCACCACATCTACATAGTTTCATTAGCATATTATTATATTATATTAAATTAGAATATCTTTATTCATCATTTGTAATTTGAAATGCCTGTTCAAAATTGATATGAAACATGTTGTTAATGTCTTTTGAATTCATATTCACGTAGAAAAAAGAATATGGAGCAAAACTCACTGCTTGATGATACATATCTAATAATTGCTGTTTGTCAACAATGGCGCTATTTTCTTCAATAAAACTCATTAATTCACTGGCATTTTTCAACCTAAAAATATATAATGAACTGGCATTTAAACGAATGATAGGCGCCAACACATTATATTTCTGTGTTGAACAAATTACGCTTACTGCATCGTGCCTACCTCTTGTAAATAATCCATGTAATAATTTACTATATCTAACAAATTTAGGATCGTCGGCATGATCGTCTATAACGATTAATATTGAATGTAGTTTCTTTATCTTTTTAGATTTCATATAATTAATTATTTTCTTCTGTCTTTCAATTACATTTTCTAAATCACTTGGATTATAATTATCAAAATAAATTTGTTCTTTTTCATCATCCACGTGCAATTCATCCCTGATATATTTTTTAACTTCTGTAAAGGTTGGGTCATTATGAACGCTGGGGGAAAATATAAATATTCTTGCAAATGAATTTCTATAAACATTTAAGATAAGGTTCTGAACCAAGACTGTTTTGCCACCTGTCGAACTCGCAACTATAATACTTCTAAACGGTAATTTTGGCACGTGCTCATATTTAGATTGTTTGAATTCATATTCAGTTATGTTTATTGGCTTTATTATTGGAACATCTGACATAATAAAATAATATTAAAGTTATTTAGAAAATATTTTATATTTATTATTTTATATGAATAGAAGCTATTCAGATTATATTGATATAATAGATGAAGTAGAGAATATAGAACAAGTTGTTATAACTGATAATAGATGCAAGAAAGTATGCTATTTTGTTTTAGAATTAATTAAGTGTGTGATACAATATATTAAAAATATAAATATTAATATAGATGGGGAGAAAGAAAAAGAATAAGACAGAATCAGTTGTTTCTTCAACTGATGAAGAAAAAGAAGAAATTGTTAAAGAAACATCAGTTATTGAGTTTGCTTGTCCAATGTGTAAAAAGATGTTAGAATTAAAAAATGAATTAGAAATACAAAAGAAAGGAACTTGTAAATGTTCGTGTATTCCAGCCAGTTTCAAAATAAGTAAGAATGATAAGAAAATGAATATTGATAAAACTAAAGACAGTATAAACTTAGAAACAGATGTTCATAATATTGCTATACGCTTTGGGAGGGGAGTTACTCCATCCGATAATGGCGATAAGGAAACACAGGAAACGATACGCGAAATGATGAAAAAATAATAATTAAAATTATTTCTATTATTATTTATAATGCAAGATGTTATAAATAATATTCTTAAATTCATTGATGTAAAAGAATTGAAGTTAAATAATTTTATTGAAGAATATAACGAAAATGATATATTAATTAATTTTGTTAATGACTTTAGAAATAGCAAAATTGATTTTAACATGTTTTATAATTCTATTAATTATGCTGATTTATTTGAACAATCAGATTTAAAATTTTATTGTAAAAGAATATATTCATATACTTTAAGATTTATTGCTAATTATGATAATAAAAATGCTATTCAGTTTTATGAAATTACATTGAGAAAAATGAATAATATTTACAAAAATAGTAACATTAATGTTGTTAATGTGTTTGAATGTATTAAATGTTTAATAATTTATATTACAGATAATATTGAAAAGTTTCATAAATATTCAAAATTTAGAAAAACTATTATTTGTAATTTAATTGGTAAATTGAATAATAATTTAACGAGTTACACAATAACTAATTTTGAATTGACTTATAATGATATATGATTTTGTAAAATAAAAGTTTAGTTTTAAAAGTTTTATTTTATAATATAATATATATATTTACATGGATGAAGGATTAGAAAAGATTGTTAAAAAACTGAACAAGGTTTTAGAACAGAATAAGAATATTTTAGAAATCTTGCAAGAAATGGAAAAGAAGAAACCATTAACAAACAGTTATCAAAGTAAAGAAGTAGATAGAACCAGTGCTGAATATAAAAATAAGAAACAAACGTATTTAAACAAACTTAATAACAAAGAAATTAAAGAACCGAAGGCTTCAACTATGACATTTTATCAAATCGACTATGATGAAGATACAGGGGTTTATTCTTGATTGAAAACATTTTTCTCTGAAAATCCGTTTAAAGACATATTGGCATAACTAATATTATGAGTAGTTCTACAGATGATGAAGAAGAAACAGGATGCACAATGGTTTATCCTTGCAGTAAATGCGACGAAGCAAAGCCAAGAAAGGACTTTCACAAAATGTATGACAGAATTAAAATGGAAGAGATATTTTACAAAACATGTAAGGAATGCAGAGACAAAGTAAAAGCAACAAAAGAGTTAAGGAAGGAACAGAAGAAACGAATACAACCCCTGGAAATACATAGATTAAAGCCTTTGATACCATAGTTTTGCTATACTTATAACATATAAAATCTTATATGTTGTAATTTTAGTTTAATTTTCCCGTATAAGCCGTGGGGGTGCTTTCCTACATGGGCCTTTCCCATCCGCATTTTGCCATCCATATTTTACTGGGATTGTTTTCAAGATTTGGGTTAACGGTTTCAATTCTCCCTTTTCCATTGGTTAACCATTTTTCGGGGAGTGATAAGGGAGTGATAATTTGTTGAAAATAGGGTTGTAGCCATCTAAAGGCAAGGTGTCCTACTATAGTATGGAGAAAAAACTGTGTTCAAGATGTAGATACGAGAAAGATGAAGATAGTTTCGTGTATGGACTCAAAAATTGCGATAAATGCACTGATCAAAAACGAGACTACAACAAACGAACTGTAGACAAGAGGAAAGAATACCGGAAACAGTATCTTGAAGCAAATCGCGAGGAAATTAATCAGAAGCGTAGAGAGAAAACAGCGAATAATGGATATTTGTATTGCCATGTTTGTGAAAGAAGAGTGAACCCAGAAATTTGGGACTTCCATTTGGTTGGAGGTTGTCACCAAGATAATATACTCAAACACTTGAAAGCAGATTATGAACGATTAGTTGAAGAAGCACCTACACAAGAATTCAAGGACAAATATTTTCAAGAAGGTCAAGAGAGGATACAAGAACTCAAAATGACAATGCCCTTGTATAATCCAGCTTTGAGAAGAAAGAAAGTTGATCAGGCTGATGGTGATAAATTGGACTAAAAAATGAAGTTAATCATTAGAAAAATAATGTTCTAATGATTAACTTAGAGGGTTGTTCAATTTGGTGGTTTTGAATGGTGTAATTTGATAGGTGTATTTAAAAAGTGCTCAAAAGCGTAGGGGGGGGTATGGGAAAAAATGCCATCTGACGGACGGGAGAGGCCGGGTCTAACTCTTTCGGGGGGGCCGAAGAAATCGCAAAAAAAAAAACAAGGCTCCGCGGCTTCCTTGTTTGTCTTTGTCCACCGTCCATGTCCCGACCCAAGCCTCTCGCCCCGCCTCATCGCGGAGCGGCCCAGGTCGGCCAAGCCAGCGAGGCAGCCCACCGCGCAGGCCCCAAGCCCCACCTGCCGTTTTGGGCTACCGGGTACCACCCGTTGGGAAGGGTTCCCCACGCGGACCCAAAGGGAAAATACGGTGCCACTGGATGTACTGTTCAAGCTTCAGGCTAAGATTTATGTCTCAACATATTAATCAGTACCAAAAAAAGGGGAACCCTTGAGAACCTCTAGGTGAACTGCCCAGCCGGTCGCCTTGCCCAGGCCGCAAGCGCTGGCCACGGCCGCCAAGGAAAGGCACGGGGTGGCGCAAGATGGACAACGCCTCGGGCCAGCGTTGGACACCTGTGGTCCCCTGCCCCCCGTTTTTTGGGGTCCTGGGTTCTAGAGGAAGACTGTGCCGATCTCATCTGCGCAAAAACAAGTTCCGCCCTCTGACTTTGCTCAGGCCTGGTGAGCTTGCGAATCGATCTCCAGCGCGCTCTGTGTTCAAAGTGTGCGGTGGGAATTCTGCCACAGGGGCCCTTTTTAGAAACAGCGAACCGCAGAGGAATTCGACGGAGCCAAACTGTTTGTCAGATTCATTCTCTCAAAGGCCCCCAGCTGGAGTTTTGATGGGCCAAAAAGCACGCCGCAGGCCATGCAAGTGCAAACACTGAGGTCTCTCCCTTGCCGCAATAAGCGAGTCGCCCCCCCCATCATCCCAACAAGCGACAGGCTGCGAAGCTTCGCCATTAAAAGAAAAAAAAAACAGACCAGCAGACCAGCAGAACGGGCCTTAAAAAGCAACTTCGGGGGAAGCACCAAAACGAGCAGCTGCCGATCAAAGAAAAGAAACACAAGTTTGACTGCCAGTATCTTCTTGAGAATGTATCCGGAAGAAGAACATAGGTGCCAAACTCAGCGCCTGAAGGGGGGATGTGCCAACTCAACGACTCCTACGGATTGACGGACAGTTTCATGGAAATCAAATGCATGAAGCATGTTCTTGTTGAGTAGCAGTCTTTGGACATGGACGAGCCATCTCTTCCAGGCGCTACCGGCAATCTCCACCTGGAACGAAAAGGTGGAGAAGCGGCGGGGAACTGTTCCACCCATCTCAGGGCCGCGCCGCTTCTGGCGGATCGGCCCCGGCCCACGCAAAGGTCCGTACCGAGCCTGGGCCAAGTGGGGCTCGAGTCGGCACAGCGCGCGCGGTTGACGGGGGCCATCACAAGGCCCGCCTTCAAGTGGTTGGGTTGGCAATGGGTTGAGTTGGATTTTATATGGTTAGTTGGATGGTTTCTTGATTGGTTGGGTGACGGGGGTTTTGGCGGTTGGGTTGGGTTGGATTTTGGATGGTTGATTGGTTGAGTGGAACACCTAAAGCTGCTTGGGTCTGCAAACAATGCCGGGCGAGTGCAACTGAATTCTTGCCACAGCTAGCCTCCCACCAACTAACACGGAAGACAATTGTCCTTTTCAAGGGACTCTTTGACAGGTTCCTTGCCAATTGGTGGGAGGGTACCCTTTTCCTAGCCATCGCGAAGGTGGAACACGCGCCCCTCAAGGAAAGCCGCTTCGCTCGGCGCTCGAAGGGAGGGCCGGAGCCCGTCTCCCTGTCAGCCTCCCTTCCAAGCTATCCAAAAAGGCGCTCCAGTTTTAGGGCGACGCCGTGTCGCCAAACAAAAAGAACATGGCAAGCCTTGGAGCGCAATCTTGCGGCCATCTGAAACTGTAATGAAACTAACTAGACCCCTTTTTGGCACGGTTTGGCGAGGGAACCAGCGTTCAACCATTTGAAGCAACTGAGCCACTCGCGTTGACCCGCATCTCTGCCCATGCATCTCCGCGCATCGATCACTGAGTTGCGCGCAGTCACATTGGGAAAGGCTCTCTGCAACTCCTGCCGAACACGAGTAAAACGCGCCGGGACAACCTTGCTGTTGATGGTTCAAAAAAAAACTCAACGACAGCAGACGGGGCAGCTTCATTTGCACAGAAAGCCTTGATTGAAGGGAAACACGTTTGGAGGTAGCGCAATTCTTGACACACAGCCGAGCTCGCTCTGAATTCCCCGCGTCTCATCTGCTGATCAAACCGCTAGGCACCTTGAGTAGGACTTTGGACATTTCGGGCATGTGTCTTGACGTAAACGACTCGCAAATAGAGAACAGTAAGGCCAAATAAGGCCTTAAGAGGGCATGATTAAGCAAGACTAAGCGGGACTAAGTGCGATTCATCCAGAATTGATCCAACTGTATGTATCGGTGCTTGCAATGGATGAGCTGAATGGCGGACCGTTACTTGCAACGCTCAACAACAATACATTCCATCATGAATGTCACTGGACTACAAGCTTTGAAGGTGTAGACTTTCTACAGGTTTCCGTGTGAAGTTGGAAACGTACAAGCCCATTCGCGCAAAGATTCGGCTCGAAGCCCCTTTGAGCCTTAGCCTCCTTGTGTTGTCGGCGATGTTGGTCATGGTCATCACTTCTCAAGCCAAAGGGTTAACGACCACCCCTGAACACCAAATCAACGGGGCGCGGATCTGTTCAGTCAGCGACCCAACGAAAGGACGAGTGTTCGACCCGCGTGCACGCGAGCGCTCCTCCTTCTGAGCGTTGCTAATCGGCGGAAGCAACTGAGGGGAGAGCCTTCGAGTCCCCATCTCCGATGCGTGAGGAAGGTTTCATACCCCTGAAACGGAACCTGACATGAAAAAGCATACGAACGAGAAAAGAAAAGAGGGTCGTTGATCAGTGGTTGCAAGTTGATCTTTCATTGGAAACGGAGGGCGTGGTTTCCAGATCCCACTGTGCACTTGGCTATGTCTCAAATAGGTTTAGAACCTTTTGGGATGCAGTTCTTCATGGTTGCCATCCAAAGGCGTTTCCAATGGGCACGTTGCCTTTGGGGGTTCCGAAAAGAACGCTTGGAGTTTTTGCCAAAGATCCTCCTTTCGGAGATACCCATGGCTTGTCATTTTCTTGAGGTGCCCTTTTCACTGCAAGCAAACAAAAGCAAATGGTTGGCAGAAAGCGGCGCAGTACGGGCCGCAGAAACAGAGCTGTGTGCTTGAAAAACTGCAAGTCTTGACACGCTTTTAAACAGGGGCACGCCTCGCTATTTTCAGCATTTTAAGCCACCCCCCTTATACTGGCAAACACTGGCAACAAGGCATTGTAAAATATGGGTTGATGGACACACACACACACACACACACACACACACACACACACACACGCATGCCCCTGTAAATGATGTGTCCAAACCAAAACCGCCATTTGGATCAACCTGAAAGTAGAATCCATCCCTTTTCAAACCACCGTTTTGGCAGCCCGAGCTGAGGAGTCGACACTCTCCATGCGAGGCTCTCCTTTCGAGAGCGGGGCTGTTTTTCTCGGCTTCCTTATAACACCATCCAAAAGGTGAGCAGGGTCGTGGCATTTTGAGGTCCAACAGACGAAAACTCAGGGGCAAACCTTCAAACGGGCCAAATCCACAAAACCCAGATATGACCCCAAGCTCAAACAAACCTGGCCACAGATGATCGTGCAAACCATCACAACGCTTGTTTTTTTCTTTAGTTGGACCCCGAGTGGACAGATTGAAACTCGAAGGGCCGAAGTCCTTTGTCTTTGAAGCTGTATAGATGGCCACGGGCAAAGGCGCAAACGCACGGCGGCTTTTCCCTTTTCCGTCCCTTTTCTCTTTCTAAGCGCAGAATTAACGGTGCCTTGAGCATTTCGTAGCTCGATTGAGTACATCTATATTTCACAACGACAGTATGACATTCATGGGCAAAAGTATGTGTTATACTGTTCAAAAAGTTCAAGAGAAACAAGCGCAGCGAAGACGTGCTTCGCGGTTCCTGTACAATCAACTGATAGGCTGCACGTGCAAATTGCAGTGCAACATCAATGTATTACCGCCACTTCTTGGGAAGTATTGCGTGCACCTGCAACTTTTTGCAGGCGCTGTCTTTTGTATTGCCAGATCGCCCGTTGCAAATCCAACTGGGTTCATCTGCTCTCACCTGCTCTCACAGTAATCCTTCCAGCACCTCCACACCCTTGCACACCCTCACCACATGCACGGCGCACTTGTCCTGGGCGATTCCGGACAGAGGAACAGCCCTGGCAAATGCCAGGCAGGGTAATTAGCATGTATATGATTCCAAATCCAATAATGTCATTTACTACAAAGCACAATAGCAAATCTCTATTATGATGCTCTTCCGTGGGACGGCATGGCTCATTGTCGAAAACAGCGAAGGGCAACGGCAACATCAACAGTTCGAAAGAGCATGAGCATGAACAGCTCATCTACAGTCAAAGCAGCCAACTGTCATGATCTTTATAGGCAAGCGGTGATGATTAAGTGTTTTTGAACAGATTGACACCCAAAGAAGAGGCATCGCTCTTTTGGGGATCGCCTCCTTCTGGTGACTACTATTTGGGGACCACCAAGACTGTGATTTACCATTGGTTTCCCTTTCAAACATGGTACTGTCAAGAAATGACAACCCCAAGTGCTTGCACAGCTCCTTTCTGAACCGCACCTGAGCTTCAGTCGTTTGAAGTGTAGCCCAAAACTGGCTCACCTGCTTAGCATCAATCTGCCTCGCTGGGGGAAGGAAACGTTCTCCAAGAGATATGGAAGCGGGCTTTGGGCAGGTTGAAAATCATCACCCCTCCAGGAAGAAACACACTTTAACTTGGCACAAAAGCTCACCAGGAGTCCAGGGACGTAGGGGGGCCACCCCCAATTTGTATGCCGGTCCATGCCGGTTGCGGGATTCTGTCAATACTGTCGGGTTGCTGCCCAAATCACATCAAACGAATATCATCAGAGTGGATACGGCTGGGAGCCTAAACCAGGGTGATGCCGGGCCTGGGAATAGCGAAACTCCTGAGTGTCGTCATTTGGCTTGAACCAGCAACAAGATGTGTGTTCCATTCAACCTGCTCAGATACTTGCGCTTCCCATCGCCGGCTTTCCTCAATGGCTCCCCAAAACACGGGGGGATAAGGCATTTGTTTTGCTAGCCCCAGCTTTTTGCTAGCCACGGCCCAGCGTTTTGCTCTTGAGACTCTAGACTGGTTGGCTGGGAACCCTTGCTTCACTCTTGAGTTGCGGTCAGCCTTATTCTTTAACTGCTGCTCGCTTGATCCTTCCAAGAAAGGCGCAGACACAGGGCCCACTAGCTCCTCTTCCAACCACACAACAAACAGGAGGTTGCCACCCCTGCCCCGCAACCATGTTTCAGGGGCTGGGCATTCAAATGGTCCCAAAAAGGCGAATATCCCCAGGCTTCCTGTGCAATCCAAACGTCACCAAAGCCGTGGATACCTTTCTCGCTGGTTCTCACGGAATCAAAATGATTTGGCAATGAACCCGTCCCGAAAGCACCAGGGGATGGTTCTGAGCTTTTCAATAGCCACCCAGAAAATGCCGAGCCACAATTCAGTCTGGGACCCTTCCCTGAGAACCAGCAATATGCTCCTTCCCCCCAGCCCAACCCCACCACACACCACACACCACACCCACCCCAACCTCAAAGGGTGTGTGACAAAACACACACGACAAAAGACCTCAGAAGGCACTTCTGCGCAGTTGCACCCCTGGTGAGGAGCCAAAAAGCCTCAGCCTTTCTCCTTCGCCGGGCTGCTGCCAGCTGGGGGTAGGACCGCTTGTAGCCAGTGGTCACTGCGTTCCGCAGCGCCGTCTCGGCGTGGGGCATGAGGATGGCGCCCGAGGCGCCCTGCAAAAGCAGCCGGTTGCTGGTCCAAATGCTCGGACACCATCACCGGTTTCCATGCAGATAGCGTATGCACTGGAAAAGGTCAAACAATGGTTGTCCAAATGGTCAGGAACCGTTTGAACCAATGCAAATAGCATATGGTTGGCCTGTATGAAGCCATGTGATTGTTACCTGGTGTGAGTCAAGGGACATATGTTGCGAGAACTTCTTTTACGAGGACCGGGACTGGTGGTGATTGAGTTGAAGTTCGCATGGCGGACGCTGATGTTCAATACCCCAAAGCCACGCAAGGACCCCACGAATCCCGAGTTCGCCTTGTGAGGGGATCACAAAAATTGGGCCGGTGTGCGGGGATTCCGTGGAATGAATGGATCAGGGATGGATTCAAAATCTATCTTCCCTGGGGAAAAATAAACCTCGCTTAGCCTCCACGGTCTATGTCATCCCAAATTGTGACAGTATTCGCTTTTGGCCCAAAAAAGAGCCGTTGCCGATTCTGCTGTCGGGGTCCGTACTTTGAGAACCCCCGTTAGGACTTCGCATCTTTGCGCGCGCCCAAACGTGCGTGGCTCGTATTCGCGTAGGACTAAATCAGCCAATGGGCCCAAAGGAGATGCGAGGCGGGCTCCCGCTTCGCACGTGCTTGGGACTGGCTTATAGCCAAGACCCTAAAGGATCCTTTTGGGGCAAACCGCGTCACGAGTGAGGCTATCAAGCGGGCTTGCAATACCCCAGAAAAGTGGCCCAAGCTGCAACGGGACATCTGCCTCGCAGAGATTGGGTGAAAGCCAGGTCCCAATGAGGCTGCCATTCAGTAGGCAAGCCGCTGTTAGATAGTTGTTGTTTGGCCGGATGTCAAAGTTCAGGGAAACAAAGGGAAACAAGCCATCTGCAGTCGGTTCCCTCGTTTCGGTTCCTTCCTCACAACGTAAACATGCCCCAGCGCCACCTATGATTCTTTCGCCTTTGGTAGGACTGTCCCCAGACAGGTACTAATGTATATGCTCTTCGTGACGGCTTGAAAGGCACAACGTTGCCTCCTTTGCACGAGACCACCGAATCAGGTAAAAGCTCTTACGCCACCTGCGTGTGACAAAGGCGGCTTGCTCTGCTCTTGTTTTCCAAAGTTTCCGGGGGGTTGTTCTATTTTCAGCATGCTTGGCCCCAAACCAAATGGGTGAACATGCTGTCTGTTTGGTGCCGCGCCACAAACCATCAACCTCTCAAACTTCCTGGTCATCCGGACCATTCTAGACCATGACGGACTTTTGTGCCGCCAAAGAAAGAGTATCCAAGAAGACGGCTATCGCTCGAAAATCCTCATGTCTGGCACAAGGGAAAGATTTGCGCCACAGATTTGCTCTGCATGAGCCACTCCGCAACAAGCGGATAACGAACAAGGCACGTCAGAAGAGTTTGGTGGGGATGCCCTTTGCCATGGATTTCAACGATAGCTAAGAGGAAGCCAACGATTTGGGCGACTCCAAACAAACACTCCTTGAGGCTTGCTGTAAACGAGAAAAGGTGAAGCACGTGATACCCCCCTAGGCTGAGGAAACAACCATCTGGATCGCAAGCCCGACCTGACGGCTTCGCCAAAACAAGCCACCCCGCTGGTCTCCGACCTTGTCTCCACCGCCGAGCATGCGCTCGCCGACCACGCCCGGAACAGTTCGAGCAATATTGACCATTGTCTGGCGGCGCATCTGCAAGAGCTTAGTCACTTGCTTTTGTGAGGCGTATTTGTTCGTGTGTGAGTGTGTGCGTGTGTTGTGCTTGTGTCTTTGTGTTCTTGTGTATTTGTCTGTCTGCGTGTTTGTGTGTTTGCGTGCTTGTGTGCGTGCGTGCCTGTTTGTGCGTTTGCGTGGTTGTGTGCGTGTGCGCTTATGTTTGTATGTTTGCTGGTTTGCCGAATTCCTGGTTGTTTGTTTGTCTCTTGTTTGTTTGCCTGGTTGTTTGGCTCACCCGCTCGCTCGCTTGCTCGCCCGCTTGCTTACTTGCTTGGCCCGCTTGGCTGCTGCTTGCTCACTCGCTCGCTCGCTCGCTTGCTTGCTGCTTGCTTGCTCACTCGCTCGCACGCTTGCTTGCTTGCCTGCCTGCCTTCTTGCTCGCTTGCCTGCTTGCCTGCCTGCCTGCCTGCCTGCTTGCCTGCTTGCCTTCTTGCCTGCTCGCTTGCTAGCTACCTCGCTTGATTACTTGCTCGCTTGCTCCCTGCTTTGTTCGCGTTCGCTTTCTCGCCTGCTTGCTGGTGATTGCTGCTTGGTTCGATTCGTGTTTGCCTGCTTGCCTGCTTGCCTGTTTGCCTGTTTGCTTGCTTCTTTGTGCTTTGTCTGTCCTTAAGTTCCATCAATCAAATGCCTCAACTGACAATAAACCCAACTCCGACTCATGTGACTCGCCCGGGAAACACAACAAGGCTCCGCCACAAACGAGGCCAACGGCATGTTTGTAAATGGCTGAGGTGTGCTTGTTGGCCTTCAAAACCATCCCAGGAGGGTCTGACCATTGTTTTGCCCGCTTTGCTGCAAAATGAAGGGACCCCTTAAAGGATAAGCCGGTAGACCCTGATGAAAGGTGGGGTTGGAAAGGCCAAAACCAACCCCTGAGCCCCAACCCAGCAAGTCAGGCTAGCCCGATCGGGCCTCAAGCTCCGGCCCGGAGATCTGATATTCGTCTCCTCAGCTCTGCCCTTGCTGCTCTTGCCAGGGAGCCGACCGTGGTGATACACAAATCTGCAACCCAGATTTACATATATACAAATACAACACCTGTGTGTGCGTGTGGAGGTGTGGAGTATGTATGTATGTATGTATGTAGGTAGGTAGGTAGGTAGGTATGTATGTATGTATGTATGTGTGTGTGTGTATGTATGTATGTATGTATGTACGTATGTACGTATGTACGTATGTACGTATGTACGTATGTACGTATGTACGTACGTACGTACGTAATGTAATGTAATGTAATGTAATGCAATGCAATGCAACGTCACGTAACGTAACGTAACGTAACGTAACGTAGTGTAATGTAATGTAATGTAATGTATGTATGTATGTAGGTAGGTAGGTAGGTATGTATGTATGTATGTATGTACGTGTGTGTTTGTATGTATGTATGTATGTGTGTACGTATGTACGTATGTACGTATGTACGTATGTACGTATGTACGTACGTACGTACGTAATGTAGTGTAATGTAATGCAATGCAATGCAACGCAACGTAACGTAACGTAGTGTAATGTAATGTAATGTAATGTATGTATGTATGTAGGTAGGTAGGTAGGTATGTATGTATGTATGTATGTACCCAGTGGGTCCCGAAGCCATTGTGAGGAGGTACCTGGGTTTCGAGACCACGCTGGGGCTAATCTGGGCCCAAGACCATTGTGGCGAAAATTAACGCTCTAAGGGGTACCATGCTGTTTGCATAGTGGAGCTGCGCTTGGCTCAAGACAGCACTTTTACCCCACAGCTGTGCTCAAGATCGAATCTAAGCCCCATCAATGCGCTCATCACCAAACTGCAGTGCAAGGTGTTGATGCTTCATCCTAAGATCACACATGCATCAGGCAAAGACTTCGACAAGAAGATACGCACACAATCAAAACCACATAGAAAACCAAGTCTCCCCAAAAAGACACGCTTGAGCACAGTATACTCGAGGCATCGCTTGTGCGTTCCAGCTGCAATGCCTTGACTGACACAGCAAGCCAACCCAGGCAGCAAACACAAACACATGCTGCCAGACCCACTGAATAGGTGTCTGGCGGGCCAAACGCCCGATGTTATCTTCCTGCTTATAGGAATGGTAGCTCCGGAAATTGATCCCTAGGCAGCAGATCGGCGCGCAAATGCATGGCCCTACCTGATCAAGGTCAACCACAAGGCCGGCTTGTGCTGCCAAAGCCACTTTCAGTCAGCTGAAAATAGCAGATCTCCTGCCAAGCCTGGCCAGCTAGCACTGCAAGTTCATTTCTTTACGTTCCAACGCTTGCAATATTGGCCCAAGTGCAAACCAAGCAACATGCAATTTGGGTCTTACTGCCCAAAGGCGGTGTCCATGTTGCAAGGCCTCCTCTGCAAGGATGTAGTAGGATGCCAAGGACATGTCCTTCAGCTACTTGAGCAGTTCCACAGTTACACATATCATTTGCAATTTGCAAGTACGGCTGCAAGTACTATATATGGTCGTCATGATCAGGATATATAATTTTGGCATGGTCCAAATATAGATCAAGTCACACATGACTGTTGCATGGCCATCGCTTCGGCATCTGTCAGATAGCGTCCCGCTTGCTCAGATAGAGCATGGAAGTTCGCCAAGTGGTACCTTTGCCGGGAGCCCAAGCCACCACGTTTGTTGTCAGGTGTGAACATGTCAAAACTAAAAAACCCGGCTTGGCATGCAAGCTAGCTCCACTACACGCTGAACTTTGATTTCCTTTTACTATGATCATCTTCACGTTGGCAAAAAGGGATCCCTAACCCTTTGAAATTTCAATTCATGATTGCAGGTGCGCGGGTGATGAGTGATAAGCAATCCAGATAAACACCCGACCTCCCTGACTGGCGGGCAAGGGGCACGCAAGTGGCCATGAGCTGCAATTGTTTGTCCACACGCAGCTCTCTGCCCGCACGTTCAGTCGCAAGCCGGCATGTCAAACTGGACAACCACGCTGTTGTCAGCCGAGACTTACAAGCACAGTCGACAGCATGAACATCAACACTGGCTCTCACAACCAGCATGAACATCAACACACACACACATATACACAAAGGAAAAAGCCAAATGCAGCATAATGACATTTGCTGCCTTTGAACTGAATTCCGGATAAGGGCAGGTGTTGGCATGAAGTCGCTTGGGCGTGAACAAGGGCTGGGAGTGCCTCATGGGGCAGACATTCACTATAATATGCCAAACACAACCATTTACATCACCAGCACACACAGTGGATCAAAATAAAAGAGCTCCCACAGAAAAAATAGCTAGCACTTAGCTTGTCGAGGATGTGCTGCCAACTAGAATCAAAACTGTGAACATATTTTGAAGGCCAAAGGCGCTTGACCCCTTGCGCGCGTGCCCACTGAACAAACTCCAAGTGAGCAGAGCTCAGGCGCTGCTCATCGGTCTCACCAGCCCAGGTGTCGGGGTAGTCTTTGAGGATCACGCAAAAAATGGAGGCTGTCACCAGCAAATCCACTCCAAGGTCCAAGGTGTGCATCCCACACCATTTCACCATGCATGGCTGAAACCGCGGAAGGCCAATCAAGGGGCCTAGGATGGTGTTAAGGCTGCTTACACTTGCCATTGCAGAAACTTGCGCAATGCAAATCAAGTGAAAACAAGAAACTTGCATCCCCTGGCTTGAGGCAGTTCTGGATGAAGGATTCACAGTCATGACGAGGTTGTTGCAACAAGGGCGATGGAGCAATTGCAAAGTTGCATTTCTGGGACTTGCAGTGGTGGCAAGCATGTGGCAAGCCAAGTTTCCTTGTGTTGCTTCCAATCAGCTTGAATTTGGGTGACCATGGCCCTTAGTTGGCCTCCACCTTCAGCACCAACCCCGCGGAACAAGATCTGGAAGCTCTCCACAATCTTGGCTTCATGAGGTGTCAACATGGACACTGACACTGCTGCTCAGGCCTGAAAACCGGGATCTGAAGCCGGGGCACTGGTTTCAGAAGGGCGCACAGGGTTGGGAAGCCAACGCTGAGATCCTCAGGTCAGTCATGACAACATTGGCTGGGATCAAGATGGACCATATTATGTATAACTCCTCACTCGTGATCAGCAAAAGCTTTCATGGCAAGCTGCATTTCGTAGGACAGCAAGGGGCCAGCAGGTTTCTGATGAGTTTGACCGTTCATCCAGCACAAGCCCAGTTGATATCAAGTCATGTGCCTTGTTGAATGTCGCCGCATCAGCCCAAAGCCACATTGGCGCACAAGAAGCATCCAGGTCAGTAGCGTAGCTCTGTCCCACAGCACGCATGTGGCTCCAATACTGTTCTACAGAAGATGGGTCCACCTGTGGCCACAAACCAGTATGTTTGATCCACGGGAGCAACTTGTGTGGAAGGCACACAGGAACTCTCCTTCAGGGGGCACAAGTCCAGCACAACACTTGCATGCTATTTTCAATGCTTTGGCAAGACAGGATTTTAAAGCCGGCCTCGTCAGGCACAAGTGTTCAGAACACAACACGCCTAGATAGGCCTAGCGGAATCCATGGCCCACCTCATCTCGATGTCATTCAAATCAGCACCTCGACGTGTCCGTACTGGTACTTCGATGTAATCCATCGGGGCCTCGCAAATAGAACATTGTCCATTTCAATTGATCAGGGTGTGGTGCAAACAAAAGCTGTTATGATCAATGTGGGTCAGATGCAAATCAAATTGCAAATTGGGTGTGCCCGAAAAAAAGCCAAGTCACTGCATCAAGTTTCCCTGCAAACTGACGAAGCACATCTCGTTGTATGTTGGATTGCCAGCGACCACCCGCCCCTGCTTTCCAAAGCCTTTTGCTCGCTCCAACCAGGTGAACCCCTTGAGATTCCATCTCCTGCGAGGGAGCATCCAGGCCGGGGCCTGCTACAATTATGCATTGGGAAAATGGTTTGAATGTTTGTCAAGAGTTCTCTGGCGCTAGTCAATCATATCAGGATCCAATGTCACGCATTTTGGGAAAGCCCCCCACCTTGCTCACAAAATCAAGAGTCTCACGTGCGCGGCTGAATGAGCTTCCCTCATGCCAAGATTCATGGTTCAGCACTATATTGTCACACATGTGCTAGCATGAGCTGAGCTGTCAATCACACCTTTTGCATCCAAATGGCCCCAAAGCCAGTGTGCTTCAACAGATACGAGGTCAAAGGCGAGGTGCTAGAAGATGCAGGTGCCGACCCACCACTGGAACCTGCGTGGGGGAAGAACTCAACCAACAAGTGAAGATAGTGCAGTGCATGGGCCAGTGCAAATGTTTGTGCAACTCCCAGGGACAGCTTTTTTGAACCGATGTTGCGCATCTAGATTTGCAGTGCTCCCAGTACTATCACTGCGCCAGATGCCACAATGGCCCCCTGCGTAAGTAAGATCAGTGTTCCTGATCAAACTGCCACCCACAGCCCGAGCTTACAGAGCTCAGTGCCACACTTGAAAGGCAAACGGCACGTGTGCTGTTCAAGTGTCAAGGTTGTGCTGATCACTTTGAACAGTTTGCCAACTCCTCAAGTTAACATCATGATCTTACATTTTCTTAGGGCTAGTCACAATTAACACTGGCGCCCCTCTGCAAACCTCTTGTGGCTGTGGCGGCAGTGCAAAACGTTGGTAATCCAAAAGCCTGCTTGGTTGCAAGCCTAGCAGTTCAGCGGCGCCCCCGGCCCTTGGCCTTCGGTTTCGGTTTTGGCGGCTCCTTAGATGTTGCCATCACGACCAAGCATTATAAACAAATGGACTTGATAATGAGAATACAACTAACTATTGACAAAACACGGTTGACAATTTAACTCTTTGCTGGTTAGGGTCAATGGCAAGTCTGATGGTCTTGCATGTCCCATTGTATGACATGATCGCACTCTCTGATGCAGCAATTGCCTCATCGAAGCGTGCCTTGTGGCTCGCATCGGCCATGTCAGGCTTGGACGCATACAAGGCCTCCAGGTCTGTTTTCACC